TTTTTTACATGCACTGAATTTTATGAGAAAAAGTATATAGTAAAAGAAAAGAAGAGTATTTATGAAAGATTTAATTGAAATCTATTGGCTACAAGTACCTAGATTCTTCACCTACTCTTCTAGGCTTGCAGTTTTGGTAGTTAAAGGTAAATAATCAAGATAATGTTATGGCAAAAGATTTGTTGTTTGCAAGTATTATTACCACTATATATCATTGTCTTCTTGTCTAGAGGAGGTTGAGTACTAACTGTTTTGTTTTCATTTGGTGTTCAGTATTCGTTTTGATTCTGGACTAATTAAGATTTTATATTAAAAGAATTTTTGAATTGGCCGATAAAAATATAAGATAGACGAGAAGATAAGAGGTGAATGATATTGAAAATAGCTAGGTTTGGTTAGTTTGAAATGAAATGAGGAATGGTCTCGTCGATGCAATATTTCACGATTTTATGCTTCCTATGTTGTTGGGTCTGGTAATGTGATCTCTTAGGAGAATCAATGACTGCGTCAAAAATATAGTACTGTTATTATATTTGAAACTTCTTAATTGGTTTGTTGTAAAATCGAACCTAAAAACTCTCTCCCTCAGAAAGTCTTTTATCCCCAAGTCTCTTAACTAGGTTGGAGAATAACGAAGTTCTCCTTACTAAAAGTGATTTCATATTTGGAGCTCGAACTTGAGATTTCTTGATAAAAATAAAGAATCACTTATCACTTTATAATTTTTTGTTATCAGTAAATACTAATTCGAGTGTCATATTTACACCGAATATATTAACTTATCACGACTAAGTGATTAAAAATTAGGTGATAGAAAGTTAATGTTAGAATGCATATGAGATGTATCTATTTGGTTGGTTTAAAATTTGAAACTCTAACTTCTATATAGAGGATTAAATTATAACGATTAGGTTATCTTTGTGTGACTTATTAATTACGAATTCGAATCATGAAATCAATTATTGATGTTTGTCTCAGAATAAATTGTCTACAGACATATAATTGTACCTAATGAAAATGTGATTCTTCTCTAAACTCTGTATAAACATGAGATGCATTATGCATCCGACAATCTGCTAACATTTCCTAATAATATTTAAACATGAGATGCTTCATGCATCAGAACACCCGACAACGTTCCTTAACAGTATTTAGTTATATTTAGCTAATTCATAATATTGATCAATACACTAATATACTTCAAACTTATTTAAAATTTTGGTTTTCTTTGAAGAACAATATTCCTCTATAGCAATAACCAATCACACACCAAACATTATTGTAATATTTCATATAGACAAAGATCATATATTTACAAAGACAAATAATACAAAAAATATTTGTTTTGACTCCATTATTTGATATATTGAAACTTTTTCAAAAGCCAAAAGTTTTTCTTTTGTACTTATTTTACAAAACATAAACACTATAACAAAGTTTCATTTAATTATTTTGTTCATATCCCCCTTTGTGCCTGCATGATCTTATCATTTTCCCTTTTGGTTGCAATTTTAGTAGGCATATATATGTTAGTATGTAAGAGAGGTAACAAATATATTGAAAAACTCAAATCTCCATATCTTGCCCCATACATTCTTCTCCCTTGCCTACTAAAATCCCACAACAACTACCAATCTTTTCTTATGACAAAATCTTTTAATTTTGACCCAAATATCATATCTTTAAAGATCCAATTCTTTTATAGTATTCATTTTTATTTTTTTTTGAATTAGTTCTTTGGGTGTTTATAATGATCAAATGGAACGTGATTCAGATGTGTCCCAGTGATTAATGAAGTGAGTTGAGAATCATGAGGTTTTCAGGTCGATGGCCTTGGTGGACGGAGTAGTTACCTTGTACGTGCATTTGGTGGGAGGTGATATATATCCCGTGAAATTAGTTGAGATATTGAGAAAATTGACCCGAACACACCATGGTTATAAAAAAAAAAGTGAAAAGTTAATTTGATGGTGAGTGACAATCTTAATAATATTTGCGGAGCCATATTCCAACAAGAGTATTCAGTTGAACACCCTTCCACGATAAATTATATTACTGTTAATATATATAAAGTATATTTTAAAAAAAAAAAAGAAACTTATCAAGAATCTTGGATAAAAACAGAAAGATAAAGCTAGATATATAGCAATGGAAGGAGGATAAGAAATCAGAAAAAAAAAGATGTATTATTTATGTAAATACAGAGTTGAACCATGCAATAAAATTAGTATTATACATATTCACAAAAAAAAAAAAAAGAAGACAAAAATCCCCTCATGTTATAGTTGAAGGCAAATTCAACCTTTAAAGTTTATGTATTTTTACATCGATTGCAAATTAATATACAATAAATCAAAATATTTATAGATATTTCGTGAATTTCTTAATAATGATAAGGTCTAGGCCAAATTTACTGTGTTCACATGAACTCATAAGTTCAATAACATACAATGAATTTTCATATATGGTGTCAACATTTTAAAAAGTGAACAAAAAAATAAATTCATATAACTATGTTTTAAGAAAAAAATCAACAAAGCGGTGATCTAGAAGGTAGGGGTTCATCAGAATTTCCTCAACAAAAAATTACTTATTTATAAGATATTTTTAATTTTTTTTTATGTGTGTATATAAATTTTGTGCCTTCCAAACATTAGATTAGAGGTTGACTGCGTACACTCTATACTCAAGCACAAAAATTCACAAAAAAATGTAACATCTACGTAAACTCTATACTCAATGGCGGTCGACGGAACCATCTTATGCTAATTAGATCCTTTCATTGAAAAAATTATACTATTTAGCTAGGTTAAAATTTTAGATTTCAGTTTATATTGACTCGCCCTTATCTTTTACGTGTCTCCATTCTTTTCAATATTTTGACACCCCATAGTAAATATTCCGACTCCCACCACTGTCTACTCACTTTACACTTCACTTATTGACTCCCCTTATCTTTTACGTGTCTCCATTCTTTTCAATATTTTGACACCCCATAGTAAATATTCCGACTCCCACCACTGTCTTCTCACTTTACACTACACTTATGAGATTATACTGAATACGTAGATAAAGCATGGTGCAAGTGGAAATTAAAACACTTAAAAAGGGGACATGGAGGTATATACTTAGGAAATTGCTCGTGGCTTTCTTTCTGCAAAACATTTTAACCTTTGTCTGGGGACATAATATTATGGGCAGCTACAAACTAATGGGGTCTCAAAACATTAATTTGTCCTATTTTGTCACTTAGTATAAAAAGCCTATTTTTTTTTTATATATGTAATATATAGTTTATATTTCTTAATGGTCTGCACGTGGTACAATTTTACAAATCATAAAGTTTTAATTTTTGTGAATTTTAAATCTTTCCATTTATGCTGAAAATGTGGAACTTTAATTTGTTTTATGTGTTATTGAGGACGACAGAATATATGTTTTAAGGAGAAAAATACTATATTCTTAAATTAAATAATGTTGTAATATTAAGTTGACCATAAAGTAGGTTTGATAATTATTAGAAGAAGAAAAAAACAAAAAAATGTTCGAGAATGAGATCTTATTGAAACTATTCATATACAGTTCATTTTTTAGGATCATATCAGATTTAATGTTCAAGAATGATATATTATTAAAACTGTCCATATATATACGGTTCATTCTTTGGGACCATATCATATTTCGAATTTGATGAAATAGGATTAATTGAGACGATATTTTGTAATGCGTTTATCTTGAATATATTAATCATTTCTTTTTCTTTTTCTTTTTCCAATCACTTGGAAATGAAAAAAATAAATAAAAATTAAATCAGAATTGTTGTTTATATTGAAAGGAATAGAAGCCTTTATCAATGAGGATGAATTCTTGCTTTTGTAAAACTAGAGAAATAAAACAAAATTCTTCGGATATTGGGTGTCGTTTGGAGATACTGGAGACAACCACAACAAACGTAGTCTAATAGTCTAATTCCACGAGTAGGTTCTGAGTGGGTAAAATGTACATAGCCTTATCTCAACATTTATGGAGTAGAGAGGTTATTTTTGATTGATCCTAACAACCCCCCTTCATTACATGTACTTGGACGGCAACGTAAATGAGTTCAGAGTTCGAGATAACAAAGACATTAACAATTTTAAGTGAAGGAATATTGAATATAACTTCATAACGAATAACTTTTTCACGAAACATAAGTTGATAAATTCGTATTATAATATCCCATGAGCCATAAGGCATAAGTTATGGCTAGACATGACTTCAATTTTTTAAGAACTTACACCCCACTGGCCACTACTCCTAAGTTTGATTGCTACCGGGCAAAAATATTAAAAACCAACTCATTTGAAGTACGAATCGTGCAATTTTACGTCTGTCTGTGAGAGAGAGAGAGACAAGTGGTTTAAGACTACTTCTGTAACATGGTCTATTGGCCTAATTAAAGAAAAAGAATGGGATATGGGCATTCAAAGAAAAGAGTCACACATTGACCCAATCTAAGGTAGTTCACAACTTCACCACCCCCATTTGTTGACGAGGGATAAAAAACCTAATGAGCATCCAATGTATAATAATTACGCAATCAGATCACTTACGAGATAGTATAACAACTTACTGTTGCTCCAAAACATTCTTTTGAATTCTGCAACAGTCAGATTTCTAAAGTGTCTTACAGGTCTCCCCGCAAATTCAGTACCTAATGAGTTTATCGTAAAACTCCTCAATTACATAATACAATACGTATGCATATCACGAATAACACCATGAAGCAACTCTGTACAGTACAAGCATACAACTACTTCCCACAAATGTGAAAACCCTGTTAATTGCCCTACAGCACATAACTCGCGCAAAAATCTGCACATAACTCGCTGTCTATTCTTTCAGCAGTTGTACATATTGATAACCTGGGACATATATTCGAAGAGACGGGAAATGAACAGCTAAAAACAAAGTGAATATTCCTTTCATGCTTGTAGTAGCCAAAAGCTGAATAATGAAACATAATATTTTGCTTGCAGTATTGGGGTTTATTCATAAGACAAGAAGCAAAACTAGCAAATTGCTTTCCAACTTTATCAATTCAAGTAAAAAATAGATTTAAAGCATTTGCATAGCACACAGGCTGAGATGAGATTTCATCAAGAAAGACATGTATACAAGTTATACTACTAACCAAACACAATCCTCCATTTCCACTCCTGAATCTTGTATCCAAGAATCGATTCCCCAGAGCTTCAGCACAACATATTTTGGACCACGAGGTACCCTCCACCTGAAAGTGATCACAGAAAACCACTCTCAGGTTGTTGAAATTTTCCAAACAAAAAGGTATACAAAGAAGAGAAATGAATTATAACTGTAGTAGTATTATATGCTACAAGTACCTACAGCGGTAACATTCAAAAGGAACAGCAAGCAAACACATGTTTGCAGCCAGAACTAATTTTCTGGTGTTGGTTGTCGACGCAGGCGTCTCCGGGGACCTGACCCTCCGTCAGAGTCTTCATTCTCGTCTTCTCTAGTATCAATTTCCCCTTCATAGGTTTCACCCCAAAGTCTTCTTGAAGGTCGTCTCCTCCCAGTTGCCTGAGCCCGAGTTCTTGAGGAACCTGACCAGCTACTACTCCGAGAATTACTCCTAGGTTGGAGAATCCGAACAAAGAGAAAAACAGTCAGCAAACCACCTTCATCGAAGGTTAAACTGGTGCTTTCACTACCCTCTTCTGAAACAGATGACTGCAATGTACTGAGCAAATCTCCTAAATCTCTCTGTCGTTCCAGCCTCCTCCAACTGCGCTGCCTCTCTGGGTCAGCTTCTGTAGGACGTACAAGAGGATGCTCCTGCCTAGCATGCTTACGCAAATCTGTATATGTGCCACTGAACTCGCATGTCTCGCTAGAGCAGCTTCTTAATTTAGCATTCATGTGACAGCGGGCAGAGTCTACAACAATCCAATCATTTATCTGGCCACGGCAGAGAGGGCATAGCATCTTCTTTATTTCATGGTTCTCGCAAGACAAGGCATCTAGGGATATAGAACCACCTTCAGTTCTTTCACCTGGCAGTTCAGACAGAGCTTCTGATAACACTACAGTAGATTCCGTAATAGAAGCTGAAGTTGGGATCTCCACTTGCTGTGTTGTTGATGCTGAAGCTTCTTCAAACGACTTTTTGAACTGATCAAAACAATTTGAATGCCTATAACTTGTGTCACACATAAAAGGACGACAGCCCTTCTCATGAGAGGCACACAGAAGGAGAATAGCATTATGAGGATGTTCCATACACACTGGGCATCGAGCATCTTCCCAGTCCTTCACATTTTCCTCATTTTCCAAAGGGTTTTTGGACAACGATTGCCTTGAGTGACTCGAGCTACAAGAATAAGGAGAAGCTCTGCTCCTATCAAAAGAAACAGACCTATCTCTTCTCTCCTTAGGCATGTTTAGTTTCTATAAGAAAATAGAACTGTCACATGACAAAAAATTATGTAAGCAGTGCTGAAATACAAATCCATGCAGAACCTTCACCAAAAGACCAATATATAAACTAACATGTGTAAGCAAGCTACATGTCAAGTTTAAAAAAGAATTTAAATAAAAAGGCAAACATGAATCAACATCACATGCCTCAGCCAAATGGTTAAAATGCTTGTTCAGTAACATTGTATTATTTTAGGCCTACATCATCTGATCAGTTTAGCATGCATCACGAATAAATCAGGAATTAATGACACACAACTGCCAGCTCTTTTGTAAAACTGGGTGTCAGTTCAGATAAAAGGCTGAACAACTAAAGTATGACGAAAACAGAAACTATGTCAAACAAAACTCGCCGTAAAAGGCTAGAAGAGTATAACCACCAACTTTAAAGAAAACAATGAAAAAGAAATAACATTCAACAATCAGCTAAGCATAAAATCTAAAATCAAGATGGGAACTAGTGAATACTATGTTTAAGGTCCTCTTTATTCGGGTCCATTTCACCCCACTACCTAGTAATTTATTTTTTTCAAGATTGTTACCCCAACGCTGAGAGACAATCTCTAACCAGACACATAAGAAAAAACTTCATTCAAGCAACTGGAAAGCACCAGATCTGATGCAAGTACAACAACAACTAAGCCTAAGACACAACTAGTAGGTACTAGGTAGTGCCCATCATTTTCTTACATCATATCCCATTCTTAACCAAGTCTGCATTCAGAGATCACGCGTCTTTCAATCTGCCACGTCTCTTTCTAGGACGTCCCCAATCATCGCAGTGTCACACACATGAACCAGTGCACATCTTGTCAGCATAGGATCAAAACAAACCATGCTATACAATTCTCTCAGTTATACTTGCATCCTTTATCTGATGTGATCATTCCTATTCCTGTTAAAATCTTTGTTCGATCATATACACCCGTAATATTTAGTGAAAAATTCAATAAAGGAAGTGAACTGACTACAGTTCCCATGATGAATACACAGAAACCACAGACTGCACATCTTTAGTATTCAACACTACATTAATATCTCGATATCATCATTGTGTGCATTGCAACGGAGATCAAATATCAAACTCTTTTAAGTTTGCAAAACATGGAAAACAAAAAGAACAACAGAAGCCGTGTCAAGATGAAAAGGCTTTGTTAGCCAAATAAATCCATCTCCTTCTGAATTTGTCCAAATCCATGAACAACCAAGTTGCACCTAATCCAAACAAACTGGTCGGTACTTCAACTACCATACCAATTCAGGTTTTGTAACACCCAATAGATACATATTCACTTCAAGTAATGAATAGGATTAATTAGGGTGATCATCCACATACCCTGACAAAAAAAATCACATCATATTAGTATATGAAGCATCTTCAGTAGATATAAAGTCCTCTCATCCATGCAACTAAAACAGAACTTCACTTTTCCACCCAAATCTTTGGCATAATAAGCCAGGGTCACTTGGAGCCTGATGGAAAACACTGCTATATTCTCACAAGCATCAGCCCAAACCAAAAGGAGCATCCATCCTCACCATGAGCAAAACCCGAAGCTCTACCACATATTGAGGCTGCAAAACCCAACTGAAATTTCTAAATCAACCTTTATCTCTTCATACTAACACTGATCCATTTGCAAAACTTTTTATGTATATTAATTTAAACTCCAGAAGTTCATTTTTTCTTACTCAAAACATCCGAATAAAAAGTTCAAAACTTATCATGTTACTTTTGTCGAATACAACCTGAAGTCGCCAAATTACAGTTCTCAGTCACTCTCCTGTACCAACTCACTAATACACCAACAGTTGCACAGATGATAACGTAAACACCAACTAAATCAACAAGATTTCCACCCCATACCAATTGACATACACAGATCATAACCAATCATTAAAAAAATAATTAAATATGTAGTTCTTATCTTTAGGTATTTCAATAATATCATGTGCCCCTTCATCAACTTAATGCACAAAGCCTACAAGTAAATATCAGATCAAAAGAAACATAAACAACAATCTATTAGCACTTTTCACTTCCCAAATCCAACAAGCTCATGATTTCTCAATAGAGTTCAGCTTGAAACATTAGCTCAAGCACTTCTTCTGGAACCTACTACAATTATAACATGCAACCCAATCTCAATAGAAATAAACACTAAAAACAGACATAAAAATCCTCAACAGATAGTGGCACAAAACATGAACTCAAACAATCTCCAATTAAATAAGGCCTAATTTAACTTCAGACACCAAACCCAGTTCCAATTTAATGAATAAACTCAAACAATCATCCAATTTAACAAATCACAAATCCAATTAACTCCTAAAAACAACCAAACCTAGTTCTCTTGTTAAAAAGGCCTAATTTTGACGTCAAACACTACCCAAATAAATTTTTTCTAACTAAACCAACTGAAACCCACAGCTAAAATCAAACACTTCTACGGTTCTCCAATTAAAAAGGCCTAATTTTGATGCCAAATACAACCCAAATCAAAATTTGTGAATAAACAGACCAAAATCCACATCTAAAATCAAACAATTCTACGGTTTTCCGATTCAAAAGGCCTAATTTCGATGCCAAACACAACCCAAATCAAATTTTGGGAATAAACCGACTGAAACTCACATCTAAAATCAAACACTTATCCAGTTCTCCGATTAAACAAACCTAATTTGACCTCAAACAAAAAACCCAAATCAATTTTTATGAATAAACACTAAAACAACCGACACCCACATCTAAAATCAAACACTTCTCCAGTTCCCCAATTCCAAAACGCCTAATTTTGATCTCAAACGCCAACACCCAAATCAAATTTTACGGAAAAAAACACACACAACCAAAACCCACATCAAAAATCACGTTTAAAACAACCAAAACACAATCAAAGGTGGAAAATAAGCAAAATGAACAGATCAAATAACACAACTTGTTGATTAACAAAACTAGATTAATCTTCCATAAAACGAGTTACCAGATGTTTTACAGACACCGATCTGAACAACCCTTATCGTTAAATCTTCCTTTGTGATGATTCAGTACTCTGAAGATTGAATTTTTCTGAAACCCTAGTGTTTTTGAACAACTCTGAAAAGGCTGCAGCTGAGTTGCCAAGCTGCTCCCTTGACTCTTTGATGAGAATGAAAAGACTAGAAATTTGTAGGGGGTAAACGAGTATTTATAATAAAATAGAGGGGCTTGTTGAGGTGGATTCTGACGTGGCAGAGTAATGTTCGCTCAAATCAACATTTCGAGTTCGGTATCAGCATTGAAGTTTCATTAAATTTGTATTCACATTGATCAGTTTTATATTGAAGGATAAAATGTTTTCTAACAAAGACGATTTTGTACCACAGACTCGTATTATCAGATCGATTTTGAAGGACAGGGTCTTCTTTTATAGTTGACACCTCTTGGAAACTAAACTGCCCCTTCTGCTAAGTTGGAACTAGGGAAGTTAAAGCAGGACGTCTGGTGTGACATCATCCTTATGGATGTATTACATATCCTACTCGTGTTACCAAGGTCTTCTGAGTAGGGTTCTACCAGCGCGCTATTTTCTCAATTTTGAAAATTTTAATGTGGTTTGATTTTTTCTCTTCTTTTTTTTTTTCGATTTTCTGATCATTCTTTAGTATATATGTTAAGGTTAAATTATATTTAAATTTGTGCATTGCAAAATTGATTTCTCGTAAACAATAATCTAAATAAGATGCTTATTTTCAAATACTGAAACACGAATTTTAGTTTAGATAAAGAAATCTCAATTATCCAGATCTACCGCATGTTATACGTGATTTGATTAATAATAAATAGGCGCCGTTTTGTTCCTTGTTCTGGCGTTCTGGCAAGTAGCAGCACGCACCAAATGCTTAATTTCAAGAATCTTTTTTCTAACTATAAATAGTTCAAAAAATAAAAACTATGTTTTTTGGAAAATTTTATTTTAAGTTAAAGACACAATATACTGCCAAATATTTTAAAATATTTCATGTGCAATATTAAAGTCAAAGAATATTTTAATCGAGATATATTAACATTTTATAAAACAAAATACAGAGAAAAATAAGACACATAATTATCCTGCGATGCACATTATATATTCTGGCGAAATGATTCAACACAATAATAATATTATATGTAAGTTTTATAATGTGACCTTATCTCTTGTTATTTCGTTAACAATTACTAATATAGTATTTGTGGAATGCACGAAAAATATTATGGAGAAAATCATAAAAATATACTTTATTTGCTAGATCATATTAATTTTTTTTTAATTTATCAATTGTGAAATTTAAATTATTTGATACACAAAAAGAAAGTAAGAAATTTCCTAGTTATTTGCCACAGAAAAGAAATTTCCTAATTTATTCTTATTGTAACAAGATGAACTAAAAGCCACGTGTCAGTGTATAATGATCTGTATTTTATCTCTAAAAAAATATAATATATGTGAAAACATGTTTTGAATATGGGATGCTACCTTATTTTCTGAAAAATAAATAAATTTTAATTCATTGTTCCTATCCACCTTCTCATTTTTATATATTTTTTAAATCTTCACTGGAAAAGGTGATTCTTGAATAATTTCATCCACTGCAAAAAAAAAATATTTAGGACATGATCCTGTCTAGTTAAGAATGAAAATATCTTGTTCATTCAATCACAAGCCGTATTAATAACTCTTGCCGCAATTTAATTAAACGAAAGATATATAAAATATAACTCTTGCATTACCACTTTTTGTATGTATTTGGAGTGCATATTCTCTAATTAAGTACTAAATTTTGTATCAAATATGATGTAGTGAATGGAATTGCTTCTTCCTTAATCTGAAGTCTCAAATTTAAGTCCTGAGTATGAAAAAATATCATTGATAGAGATTACTATCCCTGAATGGAACTATACCTAATACAAATTCAGAATAATCAAATTCCAATACGGATATCAATTTTATTCAAGAGTTTTCTTCTACTTTTTGTTACTTTATAAAGAACTTTGTCACATCTCCTTTTCTCTCCTTTGTCTTTTATCCACATGGTCAGCAAAAATGGGACCCTTGATTCACATGGTCAATCAAACTCAGGAGAGTGAAATAATACGAGAGCCAAAAGGAAACATACAATGTGACACCCTTTCATTGACCAATGAGGTGAAAAAAAACAAGCAACAACTCGAAGTAATGTATGACCATTCAACGAAAACATATAAGTGTAGTATCACAAGTGAGGTGTGAGGAGAGTGGTGTGTACGTAGTCTTACTTCTATCTTGAGAGAGTAGAAATTATTTCTTATAGACCTTCGGTTTAATTTAAACATATCAAAAAATAAGCATGTAATGCAAACACAGTAGTGAAAATCCATATTAAAAACAATGAAGAAGAGAACGATAGCAACAACAAGCATTCATAAATAAGAACTCATGCCAATGGACATTTACAATACGTGCATAGTGACAAAGTCATGAATATTCAAGATTTAATATACAATATTGAATAACTCAGTGCACAAAACAAAACATCTGATCAATGAATGATTTCACTGCTCAAAACCGCGACCATCACACGAAGACAACTTTACCATTACTCTTCATATTTGAGACGTTCAACTAAATACCACATGGTAACATCTCAAATACCATCACTTTCATGAAATATCAACAGCATATCTAACTCATTCATAAGATAGGTGATCAAAGAAGGGAAACATCTAAGGAAATAGACATAGCATATCACATGATAATGGTTCTGAAAAAACAGTTACAAATACCAAATAGCCAAAGAAGAAAAAAAAAAAGACATGTGATGTCTTTTGGAAAGGTATGTGATATCTTAAAAACTAAAGATCTAACATAGAAAATGAAAAGGGGGAAAGGCTGAACGGTAGACGGAAGTCAGCCTCTCCTTCCCCTACCTCTTCCTCTTCCCCTCCCTCTTCCTCTCCCTCTTCCCCTAAATCCTGTTGTTCCATGACCTCCACCATTGTCTCTTTCAAATGTGAACATGCTCATTCTGATGTTCTCTGCCGCAGTTGTTGTACTATCTTGTTGTTCCTGAAAATTGGTATAAGAACCATATCAAACGCACTTCCCAGAAACTCTGACAAAATATTTGTCATTATAACTCTATCTGAGCTTTAGACCGATTAATGTTCACATGGATTTTGAGACATTGTAACCAATCATAGAGGCAATGAGGAATTTTATAACATGTTCTTTGCTTCCACTGGTCCACCTCAAAGAAGTTATATTCTCAGAAATTATAACTTCGATAATAATCGAAGAAATATAAGCTGTACGTCTGTATAATTCATGGCCAAGGCGTGATCTTCCTTTCAAATCTTAAGGTTACATATAGAGAGACCACATTATGAATTTGAAAGAGAATATAGGTCAGGCGCCACTATCATTTGAATATTGAAAACCATATTTACTTACATGAAAATCTTCGAAATCTAATTGATGTTGCAGCTGTCTTGCAAGATCCTCATCTTGGCTAACATCAGGAAAATCATGTGCTGCAGAAAGATTAGCACCACTTTTTCTCCTTTCCCATTCCTCTAGCGTAAGAAGGTGCGACTCATCTTCCTCTCTATCCCTTCCCCTGTGTCCTCGCCCTCTGGAACGATGACCACCGCGAGGAGGAGGCTGACTCATTTTCTGCAGTAATTTTTGCGCAGCTGCTTGGTTTTGAACAGGGACAGCCTCGGCCACTGTCAGAAAAAGATATGAAGGTTAGGGTGAACACACTTTAAGGATAAAAATAATTTCAATACATCGTGAAAGTAAAACTTTGGTTTTTTCGAAAGGACATGCTGACAGTGAAATGTCAGGAGGAATGAAGCAGCATGTATTTCCATTAGATAACAATTTGACAAATAGGCTACACCTTCTTTTGGCCTTGATTCAGAGGTGCTTGGCTTTTCTTCAATCCTTTCAATATGAGCAGGTGGCTTCAGTTCATTACCCGTGCTCTCTATCCTTGACTCATTGTTCTGAAATCTATGCGTTTGACTAGCTGTGGAACTTTGAGCTTTTTCTGCATAAGTGAGACATGCTCTTTTACCAAATGACAGAGAAACATCTTCACACCAGAGTATTGAGTAGAGATAGATTTGCTTCATAATATTGGAGGAAAAATGAATACCAGTTAAATAACTGCAACAACCATACATAAGAAAGCCAAGGTAACAAAACCCACCCTCCCCACGAACAAAAACATTCATTGCCTTGTACGGATCAACTAATAAGAGGTATCATTTAAAGATAGTATGCCAGAGCTCCATGTTAAAAATATAAATGCATGATGACAGGAGGGCAAATATATATGTCAAATCAAAAGTGTGACGCCTCTGACCAGAATATCTCTTATGCTGAGAAAGGGGTTTGTGCAAAGCTCCAATCTGCAACTTTTCAAATGGTGGTGGACCAGCAGTTCCATCCTCATGTGCTACTTTCAAGGTTGAACGGGAGAAACCTGAATATTTTTTGTTCATCTGCCATTCCTCATAAAGAGAACTAACAGCTCCTCCTAAAACAGTAATCATTTTGGCATTCAAACACACAATACCACTGTGAACTGTAGCTTTGTTTTCCAAGCGCACCTGAACAGCAGCACATATGCAGACAAGGAATCATAACTAAGTTGTGCAGCATATCATAGTATACTACCAACAAGCAAGACAGTCATGAGCTGGAACTTTTATCACTGGCAATTAGATCTAAATTACACCCATTAACTGGTCGCCTCTGGCAAGCTTTAAAATGTCTACATCATATGGCAAAGGTTGTATTGGTCACCCGCAGGAGTCGAGAATTACACGATTTAGGAATAATTACTTGTAAAAATGATTGCAATAGAATTTAAAAGAGATACATATTCCTTCTCAAGAAAAGAAAAGATACATTATTCTCGGTAAACCACAAGCCAATAGGATGTATATTAGAATGTAAACCATCTACTATGAATATTTCTATCAAGTTGTCATAGAGAAGGGGAATACCTTAGTTCCAGGAACAACATCATCAGGAATTGATGGTATATGAGAGTACTCTATAGCAGTTATTTCAGAGTGCCCATCAGTGAGCTTTAATCTAAGTAGACGCCGATTGTTGGAACTTCCAGAACTCTCAGCCATATTACTTCGTGATATATCTCTGACAGAAGATATCTGATCGAGACCATGTACAATAGGAAGACAGAAGAAGGAAAGAAGTTCAGTGCAGCACAAAGTTTTGAAAAGTTTACTTCAAGGGGTGGACCAAAGGCAAAACCAATATAAAAGTTTGGACAGACAAATTTTAGATAGTATGAAAGTCGTATGCATTAAAACTACTTAACTGGTTTTCTGAAATTTATATGAAATATATCGAAACTGAGAGAGGGAACGATCTTAACAAAAGAGATGCTTAATTATCTGATACTATTCAAATCCACATCTCATAAGTCATGACTAATGGGTAATTAAGAATGCCGTATGATATGACTATCAGTTTTGACTGTTGTCTACAATAATGATTTCAAAAACGTATAATATTTCAAATAGAATTTAATAACAACACTTGTCCCCATAACTAGCTCTCAGAGGCAGATCCAAAATTTAGAAAGTGGGTGCAGTAAATCACAACAGCACACCTCTGCTAGAATGGGTGAGGACTGTAATAAAACCTGTTTTGATATGTATATATAACCCCATGAAATGCATTATCTCTACAAAATTTCAAACATGATAAAATTGATGCCATTTATTGTTACATAACGGACAACTTCACAAAACTCCTTCAAAGCAGATGGCAAAGTCTTCATATCAAGTGAGTGTTCATGTGGCTAAATCCCAATTAAGCCATTAGTTTACAGCACAAAACCGAAGATCAGGGAGTTCTCATATCAAAGTTGAGGAGTTATTCGGCATAACTTACCTAAAAATGCAACTATAAGTTCTTACAGAAAGATAAGTCAAAATTAAGTTTTGTGTGACCTCCATAGCAATTAAATTCAGTGATCACACACAGTTAATGGAGCCTATTTTCTCACAAAAGCTTGAGAAACTTTCAGTCAACGTGGAATAACATCCATTTTTTATTTTAGTCATCATTGAACACTCTGTGTATTTATAATAGTCCATCCAACTCCAAACCCACTGACTCTAACTACTGAATCTGCCTCATAGCAATAATACTTTGGGTACTACCACCAACATCCACGATGTACACAAATTGATGCAATTACATATAACTTCTTCATACAACTTCCTTATGCAACAAAAAATATGTAAAGGCAGGTGTGATCAAATTCACTGCTTTCAGCTCGAACATTTCTACATATATAAGAGATTTTAAAAAATTAAATATATATAATAACCCGTTTAAATCCAAACCCACCCACTCTAAATACAGAATCTACCTCACAGCAACAATTATTTGGCTACTACCGCTAACATCCATGATGTAGCGGCGGAACTGGAAATTTGAACATATGAACTAAAGCAATTTTGAATCCCCTTTTACCATTATACTTGAATTTTGCTTCTTTTTTTCATGTCAAGGGGATTCAACAACTCAAATAAAACCAAAAAAGATTCATTTTTACTCTATTTGCACAGTGTAAAATTATGGCTGCCTACATCACACCCCTTAGGGGTGCGACCCTTCCCCAGACCTTGCGTGAATGTGTTGGAGTCACACATCGTTTGTGGGATGGGTTCTAGGTCTCCTTATAAGGTCTTGAGCAATCCTCACCTCATAAGCTAACTTTTGAAGTTGAGTTAAGCCCAAAGTTCATTTCTTTATCAAAATGCGAGATACTTAGTGCATCGGGCAATCCTTTACACATAAATTCTTCATACAAATTCCTTATGCAACAAAAATATGTAAAGACAGGTGTAATCAAATTCACTTCTTTCAGCTCAAACAGTTGTTAATTGTACAAATCCAAACTCACCCGAGGTGGAGCTAGAAGCACAGATACAAGTTCAGCAAAATCCAATACGACTTCCTCTAAATACTGAATCTTACTCATTACAATAATCATTTAGCTACTACCATTATGTACACAAAATGATGCAAAATAACACATTTATACAGAGTCTCTTCATATAAGAGAAATTTAAAAAAGATAATTACTTGAAGGACTTTAGGGCCTTGGATATGAGACGATTTACGGAGAAGAGAAAAGTCCGGCAACGACTTCCCGCCGACGGATCGTAAGTCCATGTTTAGGAGCTCCGATTCGATTGAACTAACGGTGTATGATGACGCCAATTGAGCTGCAATGAGTGAATTTACAAGATTGATATCCCGGAAACACCATCCTCTGGTATTTAGGGTTTGAAGCAAATTCTCCAATGAAGATGGGTTCTCCATTTTAGCGCCTATGAGGTGTTTGATGTTTCAACTCACAGAAATTTCTCTTTTAAAGGGAGTGAGGGGTTAACCAATAAATAAATAAATATATCTTTTGGAAAATTATAGTAATTTTTTTTTTAGGGAAAAGGGTCAAATATACCCCTAAACTATTCGAAAAGGTCTAAATATACCCGTTTAAAGTTTGGCTCACTTATACTCTCGTCGTCCAACTTTTCGTCTAGATATGCTCTTATGGGTGTTAAATGTCAAATGAAATTGCCACGTCATTTTTACATTACCACGTGACATTTATATTAAAGAAAAAAGGGTCAAATATACCCCTAAACTATTTGAAAAGGTTTAGATATATCCCTTTTAAATAAACTACCCGACCCGTTTTCAAAACAAAAAGTTTGACTTTGAAATATCATTAGTTTAATAGATGCAATGTATCATTATTATTTCTACATTTGAAGAACTTTTATATGGCATGCATAGTAGTTTATTTATATTTCAACGCGTCCACTCATGAGAGATTTATTTTTTTCATTTGAGCAAAAATAAGATTCTTTTTAATAATAGGGTGTGCTGGTAAAATTAAAATCACAACCTATGTTTAGTTTATTTATCGATTATCATATTGAAGCGTGTCGTCATCTCGTATTATTACTATAACCTTATAAGATTGTTGCAAGAATAAATAGTTTAATTTGTTTTTTTCTTTTTGTTTGCCATAAATTAAAGCTCTGCATCTGGAATAACTCTCAAGAATGGTTCTTGAGAATTCATGCACAAAAGAATGTCGACGTTTTTGCATTTGTCGTCAAAGGACATATTGAACTATACTTGAATCGTTTAATCGATAGGTGAATATTTGACCATATCGAAGATGACCTCTCTATCTTCTCAAATTAATGATCTGACAATAGAAATTACAGAATAGTATCCTATCATGATATAAATGTGGTTGAATTAGCTCCGGGGGGAAATTTAGAGGATAGCGAGGGGGTTATTCGAATATCCTTGGTAAAAAATTACACGGTATATACAAGGTATTTTAAATAAAGTTTATGTATATATACAGATTTTGAACCTCCTGAACATAACATTAGACATTGGCTTAATGATTGAGGTGGTTTAATATCCACCTTGGCGTTCCAAATTCAAATTTCAAACACTACATTTTTTTTTGAATTTTACTTGAAAATTCTGAATCCGCCACGACTTAATTAGCTCTATCATTTAGAGTACATTTGTGGAGCCATTTTGAGCACATAATTATGTCACGACTCACTAGGCATCCTTATATATTCCCCTTTTCTTCTCAACTCATATATCAATTGCAATTTCCCTTAACTATCTTCTCTTTTGATTCAATCTTGAAACAAAAAAGTCCCAACAATATGTCTCAAATTTCAACAATATTGATGAACTCAATTTGTAATTTGACATTCTTTGATTACCATGTTAAAAGGGGCAACCATGACATTGGTAGTCATGTTTATGAGTCTACGTCGACGATGGATCGCCATGTCATAGGGTGTATCTATGTTTCAGCTACATGGTTCGAGGATGATGGAGATGACGATGATGATGATGCTGATTATGACTATGCTCCAGCTGCGTGATCAAAGAAATATTTCTTCTTTCTAAGAAAACCCTAAGATATATGTTAAGCATTGGTATCCTATTTTATAAAATGAAAAATCTTCATACAAAACCATAGTAGATATGTACGATTTGCCAATTTTGATTTAAATAATAACACTTTCACTATCTATAAATTAATTATAATTATCTAGCTACCATATATTTTCATTAGAGAATTTGACAAATACCTTGTCTATGTGGCATGCCAACAAAGCATCCACGTAGATAAAACTTACTTCCACGTGCTATGCACACGTCTTGCTGGCAAAAAATTGTTTTGCCTTTTCAATTTACCTGAAGATAAAGCTGCACTTTAAATTGGGAGAATAATGGCACTGGCATATCTGAAAATGTGGAAGATGTAGTCAGTGGTGGATTCAGGAATTTTATATTATGGGTGCTCAAGTTTTTTTAATTCGAAAATTACTACATAGAATGGGTGCTTACTTAATACATTTCAACGAAATTCTAAATTTTATACATAAATAGTAAAGTTTGTCACAAAAGGTAGTGGGTGCTTAAGCACCCATTATGCACAAGGTAGGTCCGCCAATGGATGTAGCTAACGAGTGCTTTCGATTCGATTAAACTTAATAATTTTAGTAGTAAAATCATAATAAAAACAATAGAAAAATTTACGTAAATGTACCATCTTTAGTCAATTAGTTTAATTATCAACATGGTTGAAGTGTACATTAACTATATATTATGACGGTATATATTGTCTATAGATATGTATATTATACATATATCTAGTATAAGATGTATATTACATAGAGAAAAATCTAGAAATAATAAACATAATAGACATAATAAGGCTCTATAGCTATAGTTTCGATAATTGCGCTTCATAGCTATAGTTCCGTTTGTTATGAAGGCTGTGTTTGTATATTTCTTTCTGTTTGTATATTTCGTTTGCAAATATATATACAAATAGGGTAAGTATATACACATTTTATATTTATACATTTAGGAATTTTTCAGAACTCCGTTTGTATATTTTGAATTGCCAATATACAAAGAGGATAATTTATTATGAATTTTTCATAAACCTTATACAAATAGATAGGGTAAGCATATACAAAATTTTGAAATTATATATTCTGGATTTATACAAATCAGGCGAATAGCAAGATTGGGTGAAACTACAACTGCGAATTAGAATTTTCCTAAACAG